AAATGGGTACTCTGTTCTTATAATGAAAGAAAACCATAAAAAGCTAGTGTTTTATTGGAAAGTGGATTTATTTTTATTTTATCCGATAAATAAATTTTTTTTTGGAAAAATGGGTACTATGTTCTTATAATGGAGGAAAATCATAAAGAGCTAGTATTTTATTGAAAAACATGTTTTTTTTTATTTTATCTGATAAATAAATTTATTTATGAGAAAATAGATACTTTGTTCTTATAATGGAGAAAAGTCATAAAGAGCTAGCGTTTTATTGAAAAACGGATTTATTTTTATTTTATCCGATAAATAAATTCTTTTATGAAAAAATGGATACTTTGGAGGAAAGTCATACAGAACTAGTGTTTTATTGAAAAATGGATTTATTTTTATTTTATTCAATAAATAATTTTTTTATGAAAAAATGGGTACTCTGTTGTTATAATGGAGGAAAGCCATAAAGAACTAGTGTTTTATTGGAAAATGGGTTTATTTTTATTTTATTCGATAAATAAATTTTTTTATAAAAAAATGGGTACTCTGTTCTTATAATGGAGGAAAGCCATAAAGAGCTAGTGTTTTATTGAAAAACGAGTTTATTTTTATTTTATCCGATAAATAATTTTTTTATGGAAAAATGGGTACTATGTTCTTATAATGAAAGAAAGTTATAAAGAGCTAGTGTTTTATTGCAAAACCGGTTTATTTTTATTTTATTCAATAAATAAATTTTTTAAGGAAAAATGGGTGTTAAAGAGGTGGTATTTGATGGAAAAATGATACATTAGGATACCAATGGAACAGTTAAAACACAATCACAGATTTGGTATTTTAAATAATGAAGAATCGGTTCCGCTTGGATTACATATTTTTCGGGGTATTTTTCAAACACAACACTGTGTCCTTCGAGCGTGAAATACAAGTACTATACATATCTGCTAGGGATGTTTAAGGAGGGGCAAAGAGTTCAGCTACCTCGACTTTCAGACTGGGAAGTTTTTTCGAAGGTAACAACAGCTGAAGGATGCAGTTTGTATCTTGTCTTTGATTTAGAATGGGAATATTTCGTGATTAGGTAATGCAAAAGAACTTGATTATGAGAACTTGGCTTGAATAACATAATAGTTTATAGATTCAGCTCTTAGGCACTGATATTTCTATTGTTTAAAACTTGGAAGTATGATGATTTAGTCAACTGATTATATGTTACGGCATTTTGTCCATGTTAATCATCAGTATTGTGATTGGATTGAAAATGCTGGACTTTGTTTGCCAAAAAAAAAATCTGCTATTCCTTTCCCTTTTAGACCAATCCTTTTGACTTATGTGCTTTCTGATAAAAAATTTTTATAATTTTTTTTAAAATGCAAAAAACAAATTAATTCCATATAAATAGAAAAAATTACTATTTCAACTATTGGCACTTTGCTCATACTTTGGAGGACTGGTAAGAAAACCGTGAAGAGCTGGTATTTTTATTAATGAAAACTTTTTCCATAAATGACCTGCTTTTTATGACTTTCCTTTATTATATGTCAAAGTACGAGCTTTTAACCAGCATTTTACATCTATTTATTTAGTACTTTAAACAATGATATTCAGCTGTATCTTTCCCTTTCAGACCAACTATTTTGACTTGTGGATTTTTGTACTCTGTGCAAAAAAATTTTCGCTTACTTTTTTTTAAACTTCAAAAAAAAAAATTTAATTATGTATAAATTTTAAAAATATTACTTTATTCACATACAATCAAGTATTTATACAAGTATATTAACAGTACTTGCTAAGTAAGGTACTCAGTTTTAATCATTAATAAAACATTTTAGTGTTATTTCAAATAACAATAAAATATGGGCTTGGCAAAAGTTTTTTAAGCATAATAGAATATTTTTGCCATAAATTAGCATGTTTTTATCATTAATCAAATTTACTATGTTATAAGTAAAAATGATTATTTATGTATAAAAACATACGTATGTGTGTTTGGATTGTAAATTATTTGAGATATTCTTATTGTAGCACTTTTTGTGATGTGATGTATGTAAGATAAAAAGATAATTGGGAAGATAAAAAAGTGTATTGGAAATTGTAATGGTAATGTAAGCAAATATATTTGGGCAAATAATCTCATGTCCAAACACACTAGTTACTCCCTCAAAAGTATATTGAGGATAAAAATTGTAATTTATCTCTTTAAAAAGTATGTTTCATAATACTTTCAATTCACCTTTTGGGCTACAAAAGTTACTAGTTTATTACGTTAACTTACTATTTTAGATGACAAACTTACTTTCTTATTTTTATGCATAATCTTATTCAAGTGGATAAATCCAACAGGTAATCAAATGGTTACTAAAATTATTATAACCTATTATATCATGTCTAAAACTGTTTTTTTACCATAACGATAGTTACTACTCCATTTTCCCACGTGCTTAAGCTCAATACTTGGTACTAAATTTATATATGTATATAAATATAATGAAGGCTTGAATCCTTTCGTTTACCTCCACTTTTCCTTCTTCCAAATTATTATCCCCCACGCGTGTGCGATAATCATTTATTATTTCTTAAAATTTCGGTACCTTCTTTACGCATATTTTTTGTCCAAGGCATTTGTAGCATTTTTCCATTAGTAATGGGTACATTTGAATATACATAAATGCCTCTGATTTTTTAACCTGCAATAACACTTCCTGCCCCAATCTATGAGATCGTACGAAGTCAGTGTGCTTTTTGGTTGCATCCGCAGATGGTTCTCGTATATTTCCTCTCCACACGCTTTGCAACAATTTACTGTCTCCGTTTGGACTGTATGCAACCGCAACATATGTCCCTCTCTGCCGGCCTTCCTATCATATGCAGGTTCCTACCATAAAGGTATCCCCTTTGGCTGCCAATTTTTGTTTGTGCAAGATTGGAATGATCAGAAAAGCTCTAATTCTTTTCCAATATCTTGGGATCAACGGAGAACAAAGCAGGTCAAAGTCATTACGGAAATTGTACTGTTTCTTTGGAAATTCAGCTCTGCTTTCCTCTCGTAAAAATAAAGTTTGTGTCATCTTTAGGTTGAAGAACTTAAATTACAATGTGGACATTGCTTGAAGAGTATTGAGGTAACATACATGCCGAGTGAGGGAATATAAGTGACAAGGAAATGATTATTGAGAATGATATTGACGGACTTTTAGTCTTATGAATCCCGTTACATCTTCTTCGGGTATTGCATCTTCTTGCTACACTTGCCATCTAAGCTTTCACCAAATTAGAATTGTACCTTCTCCATGCACTTCCTCTCCATAAACTAGTTTCCTTCCTATATCTTGCAAAGCTTCTGTTCCCTCCTCTGAATGAAAGCAAGCACTTGTGAAAGTTGGGAAATAAATTCTAAGGTGACCTGATGAGTTGCTACACGGCCCTGTTGAATTCTTTCGAAATTGCTAACTCTGGCATTCAGCTTTTTTTACTTCTCTTGCTTTGCCTCAATTAGTGTAAATACCTATCATGTCTACACCATTATAGGTGGGTTTGATGCCTTACGTAACATCTCAGTTCATATCACGGAGAACTGAAGCAAGCTTCTCTTTTGACGAGGTTTATGTTCCTACTGTGGCATATTTTGACCTGGATGTATGAACTTGCAGGTCTGTTCTTCGGATTAGTGGCTATTTGATGGATAATCAAGTACATTTCCATGGCAGGGACTTGGAGGACGAGCTCGACGATGACAATCTCGAGCTGGCCTTAGCCATGTTTCTGCTCTTAGGGCTGGCTCTTTTTGACCCATACCTAAACCCTCCTCCTAGATGAAGGATTCCAGATAGTGCACTCTCAGGTCAACAATGGGTAACGGAGCAGCCACCGGGACAGAATATTCGAAAACCTACTCATGAATGTTCCACTGTTGCTCCACTTGTGTAATTTGTTGGCTGAGCGGGGTTATTAGGAGCCCACCCCACACAAAGGGTGGAATTTGAAGAGTCCGTGGCCATTACACCGATATTCCTTAGCCATAGTAAGTGCCATCGGGTCTTGGTCGAGCGTTTCCAACATTCACCAGAGTCAGTGGACCATCATCTGCATCGCTGCCTAAGAGTTATTCAACAACCGCCATACATCTCTAAGAAGCATTATAGAATCAACATTTGGTATTTTGAAAAAACGTTTCCGATACTTAAAATAGGGCCCTGTGCAGAATTATATGATGGCCACGCAGAACAACATAAATTAAAGTTTTTAAAAAAATTGTAGCAGACAAACTTAGCAAAAAACTTAGCTTCCAAACAAGGCACCGATAAAAAATTAGCTTTCTGCAATTTCTGACTGCCCTTGCATTTCATGAAAATATACTATCAAGTAACTTTGCATAATTGGCAAGTGAGTTTTTTTAGGTGTTTGTCTAAAATTTTACTGTAACTTACTGTAGAAATTTTTAAAAAAATTTTTGAAATGTGTCTTTTTTAATATTTTGAAGTGTATAGTTTAAAAATTTCGAGAAATATTTTGAATTGTATAGTTTGAAAAATTTTGAAATGTTTTTTTTAAGACAATTAGTTTTTCAAATACAGCAATCCAAACAACATTAGCGGTTTTTCAAAAACAGCTACAGTAAGATTTTTTTTAAAAAAAAAAAACCTGAAAAACAACTAATTCAAACTGAGTCCCGTCTGTCACGAAAAGTAGCATTGAATCCTCTCATTTGGGGTACTTTCTGCCAAGACAATTTTTATTTAATGATTCCACGTGAACAAGAAAATTAATGTCTAACCGGCTAACCCTTTTATTCAGGATACTCTGCCAAGATTATACTAGTTTGCTTCAAATTGCCAAGGTAAAGTGCCATTATGCAACGGCAGCCAATTCTGATACAGTTGCTTAGCCAAGAGCGTGCATTGAAGGAGGCAAGAGATTCCATTCGTCCACTATATAGGTGTCCACAGTTAGCAAGAGCCAAAACAAACTTTATCAAAAGAGATCCACAAACCAAAGAAAGATCCAGAAAAATCTTCATGCAACCACTATCCTCATTTCTGCACTCAGTAACAATTTTGTTATAGTTCCACAAGCATATACTACTACATGTGGCCACCATTCTGGCGAGGTACTTGAGTAGCTACATAGCCACACTGGCATGCAAACAACAGAAATGCAATATGAAGAAGAAAAAGGCTGTCTACTTCTCCTTGTAAAACTTCATTGACATCAATCTGAACTGTACAATTAGCAAACTATTTAAGTTAAAGAACAGAACAGTGTGTACAGCAGTATATACAAGACAAGGCTAATTACCGCAAAATACCTAAGACCAATCTATGATACATATCAAATAAGGAGAACTCCCTCATTGCAAGATAGTGCAATGCACAGAGCTCATCATCACTGGAATTTGACTTGTACTTCAATCACCCCAGGTCGTGCTTCACTATAGTGATATCTGCAAAAATTTAAACTTTTTTAACTGCAATTTCCTAACACTCACCTTGAAAAAGAAACGAAGAATATTACCTATTTTCATCAAGAAAGCTCCTAATGGCTGGAGGAAGTGTGGCTTCACCCCGACTATGCTTGCCTTTTCCTGAAAACGTATCACAAGAATCATATTGCACTATATAGTAGTATTATCCTGTCTGACTAAAACAACTGGCTTAAACCACTTAAAACTTCATTAAGAGGTCCACATCCCTTGTAAGGAAATTCAGGCACATTGCTTAGATAGTATATTAGAAGAGCAAGCACATGCATAAAACCAGAATATTAAACACTTTAGCATGTGCAATTGATTTAAAAAGGAGAAACAGTACCTGTTATTACTTCTACAGATGCTGGTCTTGGCCTAAACAATGGAATCTGGCTATCACACTCTTCCAAATCCCTAAAAATTGCAACATTAGGAGCTGTGGAAGATACAATTCCTGCCATTACATTGAATCTTCTAGCAGGCATCTGAGATACATTGAATATTCTAGCACAAGCAATAGGCATCTGAGATATGTTGAGTATTCTAGCACAAGGCATCTGAGATTGAATTGCATTGAATCTTCTAGCACAAGCAAGCTGTTTTGTAGGCATCTGAGATTCAATCCTCTGCAAATGTTCTTGCAAGGCTTGGACTGCTTCTGCAGCATGAAGACCATGCAAATCTAATGTCCACTCATCATTCTTCAAATTCTTGATTCTCAGAATTTCTTTTGCTGCCTTGGCATTTAGTTGTTTAGCAGTCAGCCATTCTTCACGAGCTTTCCGTGAATAGAGTTGAGCAGATAAGTGATCCCCTCTCAGATAGGCATCCACGGAAGCCTTAGAGTTCCGAGATGCTGAACTGTTTTTTAATAAGAAAAGTGCATAGACAAGGACTGTGAGCTAAATAATCTTCAAAACAGAAACCTAAACTTCAGCATAACTCAATATACTTTAGAAGGGTACAATCTTAACACTACAAGGTTTCAGCAAAAACAGAAACCACAAGAACTGAGTTCGCAAAATAATTGCCAATGCTAGTTCAACTTCACCAGAACCACTACAAGATCAGTGCCAAAAAAAAAAATGCACTAACCAGATTCTACTTAAATCAAACAAGAATGACTTATCATTACAACTCGACATCCAGAGGTCAACACAAAAGCAACCATCAAGGAACCAGTACAACTACATCTACTAGTACGGAAGTCTACCTTCCAGAAACCAGGAAGTGCAACATGGCAGAGTCAGATGAGGTCAATGAATGACGGTGGTGCAAGATGGCAAGAGAATGGACAGCATATTTATACAGAGATGACTGACAATAGAGACGACAGACAAGAAGGAAAGAGCTGTGAGGCAAGGGTAAGCCCATGAGTTTTTGAGTGCCAGCTGTGAGTTGTCAAGTGTGAGCTTTAAGAGAGATGGAGAACATCACAGTATCAGCAGTGGGTATAAACTGGAATAGAATTAGGCTGTGTCTGACGGTCTGTGTGACATATTTATGTGAATATATACACATTATGTATATATACACATATAAATACATAAACTGTCTGTATGTATTTGTGTACAAACAGAAATATGCTTTTACTAATATATAGTACCAAATGCAGACTCCGATTTTAATGAGTCCCTAACGGCTGTAATGAATTCGAAATTGATAATTTCAAACTTAAGAAAGCCAGATCCATTTCTGTACTTTTTTGGTCATTTGTATATATGTATATTTATATATATTTCCAAGCATCCAGCATAATTACCAATTCACGTCCCCTAATTCATTCTAAAATTGGTTGATAATTCATTTTTGCCCGTTTATGCACACCCTAATTGTCAAACACAAGACACAACCTTCCAATTTTGGCATACCTTTTAGTAACATTAGTGGTAAAACTTAAATTATCATTTAATTGATAAATACTCATACTCTCACTCACTCTTTTGCTAGTTATCCAAGGTTTTAGTGTTAACTTCTGTTTCTAAAAGTGCCTCTTTGCATAAATTCTCGAATATCTTGGCAAATTAAAAATCTTGCAAACCAAATCATATGTAAAAGATTTCAAAGTTGAAAACCTGCATAACAAAAGCATAAAAGAAATAGCACAAGATTCTTGTGAATAAAAGCATAAGAACACTAAAAGCAAAGAAATTATCATCTAAGGTAGCACAAGGTGGTATCTGACAACTGCAAAGAATAATATTCTAATAAAAGAAGGCTATCACACCAGAAAAAATAACTATATTCATAAATTGCCAGTCATGTAACCCTTTTTTTTTTTTGTTTAAAAGCAGGATTTCAGAAATGGAAAAGAATATCACAACACTGGCTCAAGCAAAAGAATATGATCTAAAGCAAGCTGGTTCAGGAAAACCGCAAATGGCAAGGCAAGTTCTTGTCCATGGAAACGTTTATCAGAGAAGTAGCAAGATATACATAGCTATCCTTAAAGAAGAATTTCAATTATGACACACTTACCCAGTATATAATCAAGAGTTCTGAATGTGATTCAAGTTGCTTATTCATGTTCTCTAAACTTCTGTGATGAATATGAAACTAAATTAAATAACAAAATGGCCGTACACATCATGATATATCACTGAGAACCAAATTAAACAAACATAATCTCCCAGTCCTTAATTCAAACAACTATGGAGGGTTCAAAGACCAAAAATTAGAAATTCAACATAAAGCACATTCGGATAGCAAGAACTAAAAAACTATGATACCAATGCTCTTCCATATCTGCAATCTCCACCATATTCATAATGCATCGAATATTCCAGAGCACAATAAGTTGAAGGGATAAGTTTAAAAGGTGCCATTTAAAGTGCAATCCCAAAATTCTAGCAAGAAAATGGATGTGATGAGCAATTTGTCATAATTGAGTATGTGAATTACATATTTTTAATACCAGGATTTCTATACCTTTTTCCCTGAAATTTGTGTATGAGAACAAGAAAAAGGAAAGAAGCATCCTTATTACAAGTACTACATATGATTGAAGTAAAAACAAAATTCAAGTTCATAGTGCAGATTGCAGCTAAAATTTATACCAGAAACAAACCTTGTCATCTTTTGTGCCTCTTTTCTTTGAGCCAAGTAAACATCATCTTCTTCCCGCTCAATGGGTAAAGATTTGATGGAATTCAGAATCATTTTTGTAGCAAAGACATCATGCAGAAGCACTCTCCTCGAAGAAGCACGTTCATCTGTCAAATCTCGATTACTGCTAAGCAGAAGACCCTCAAGAAGATGCATCACTTGAGAAAGATCTGTGTCCTTTTCAGCTAATGACTTATTTTCATTCACAAGAGACTTCTTATGATTGAACTTTAATTCATCAGTCCCAGTAATTTTAATATTATTGTATTTTTGCTCAGAGGAAACCATCATTTTCAATAAGGATGAGGCCTTATCAACATCATAGTCTACACCAGCCAAAACATCCTCAATCAGGCATTGGCCTGCCCAAGGATGGAGCTCCTTAAGCATTCCATTTGCCTTCAAAGCATCTTTGACACCACTAGAGCAACCACCCTGCAATTTCTTTTCATGCATATCGCTGCGTTTTGGCTTGATCTGAAATTTGACAGCATCCTGTAGTAGAGACGCAAAATGCTTCTCCGATGCAGTTATATTTGCTATGTTTGTCAAGGCTTTCTGACTTTGGTCCATTGAGCTTGATATTGCTGGAAAAAATTCATCCTTTGCTTCAGGTTCAAGACGCTGCTTACGACGATGTTCAAGGTCAAATGCAGTACAACCAGACGTTTTACCTCTCCTCCGCAACATTTTTGTGTCCAGAGGTTGTACACTTGCAGAAGTAGTCAGGTCAAATACAGTCCAACTAGACGTTTTACCTCTCCTCTGTGACATCTTTGTGTTCAGAGGTCCTGCACCAGCAGCAGTAGTCATCTTAGACGACAGATATTCTCAAAACCATCCTGTTGCGCACATGCAACAGCCGGTCCCCCTTCCCCTCTCTTCCCTTTTTTGTCCCAAAGTTTATGCAATTATAGAGAACTCTCAATAATGCAAAATTCACATCTTTGTCGGGCTAATTGATTAGAATATTGGTGTATAAAAGAAAAGTCAGACACTTGCGAGTCTGATAGGGGAGTTGTATAAATCTATGGGTGCCGAGCCGTGTCAGCCCGCCACCTAACACCAAAAAAAAATTTTTTTTTTTTATAGTTGACACATGGGTGCCGGGCTGACACAGCCCTGTCAGCCCGGCACCTGACAAAGTCTGCAAAAGCTGGCTGCCGGGCACTCCAGTCAAATTGTTAAAAAAAAAAATTTGGCAGGCTGAAAAAAAAAGCTGGCTGCCAGTGAAATTGATTGGATAGAAAAAAAATGCGAAACAAGGTACTAAACTATAGAGCCTTCTTTTTGTTGGGGAAGAAAGAGGAGGGGTTACAGGGGCACTGTTGGATATACGTAGAGGCGGTAGGAAGTTGGGAATGGAAGCTAAATTGCGCAGGAAAGGAAGCTCCTGTTAAGTGAAAAGAAGCTCAGCAATTTGTTAAGTGAAAAGAAGGCAGCTCCTGTGAAGCAAAAAAGCTAAACCAAAAGAAAAATTTACGTACGATAACTGTTAGCCATTTAGTCCGGGTAATTTAAATATTTGAAATAATACCTATGCTAATAAAATAAATATATAAAATTAATATAATTAGCATAGCTTAATTTCGAAACTAGTGATATTAGTTTAATGCAATTCATTTTTTGTTAAGATAGTTGATAATTAGTTTACGTTATGTAGTATACAATTATTTTAATTAGTTTAGTGAATTAATTAGTTTAATTAATTGAATGAATTAATTTTAAGAGGTCTGATTAAATGAATTTAGATGTATTTGGCGAGGTTAATTAATTGAATGGATTAATTGAACGAATTTGTGCACAAGCCAGACAAAAGGGAGCTGCCAGACAATTTTTGTTTTGTCCACAAGCCTGCCAAAAGGGGCAAATCTGAAGCAAAAAAGTGTGAAAAATTCACGGGAGCTACTTTGTCTGAATTGCATTGAAGCCTGCCGATTTTTTTTTTTTAACAATTTGACTGCCCAGCAGCCAGCTTTTGCAGTCTTTGTCAGGTGCCGGCACCCATGTGTCTTTTATAAAAAAAAAAAAAAATTTTTGTGTCAGGTGCCGGCACCCATAGATATATACAAAACCCTGTCAGACCCGCAAGTGTCTGAATATTTTTTTTTTCACCTATATTCTAATCAATTAGCCTCTTTGTCACCGTTGTGTATGAAGATATTAATCCAGACAAAAGAAATTCCAATAACAGTTAATATAACACAAAATGAAGCTTTCGATCAACTAATTGATACAAATACAAATTGGAATGACAATAACACACTACTTTTTATTAGCCCATCAACAAAAATGAAAGACGAAAAATAATTGCTGCGAAAAAACTGAATGCTCCAATCAGAAGAGAGAGAGAGAGAGATAAAAAATGGAAAAAAAAAATCATTCTTTCAATGTCGTGAAATTGTACTAACCGTTCAGAGAAACTGAACCTTCCACTAAAATTGCTTTAAGCAAGTTTTTCAGTTTTTATCATTTTACATATAAAACTATAATCTGATTATACCCGTAATCATTAATTATAGTATTATAAGCTACTGAATAAGCTAAATTAAATTCATGAACTAATTAAAATATCCACACTAGTTATACATCATTAAACTCTGCCAAAATATAATAATTCTAAATTAAATATAAAAGTCTCAAGCCAATATTCATAAAGCACATCAAAAATGTACTTTGACTAATACACTATCATAAATATGCAATAATTAGTTTAATATACTGTCATAATAAAGCTATACCAAAAAAAATTTTAAAAAATAAAAATTAGTCAGATAAAACACGTAGACATTTAATACACAATCATAAGCTAATTACTCATCCAAAAATCACCGACAAAAAATCTTAATTATAAGAAGACAATATAACATGAAAAAAGAAGAAGAAGTACCTGTTAAATATGCTTGGCTTGGCTTGGCGAAATTAAAACGCAATTACTACTAAGGTATTTCAGTAACACGTCGAAAATCCGGTATCCGAGGAGTCAAATGAAGGGACGGCGGTGGAAAAATCCGGTATTTCAGCCACGGTGAGTAGACGATTACAGCCCAGGATGAAGATGAAGATGATGATTGAAAAGGGAATTTGCAACTCAAATCCATATAAGCTTTTCTAAAGATAGGGAGAATTATTTAGGAGAATAATTATCAAAGGGAAAAAGGAGAGGGGACCAATTGATTATTGACTAGGGAATATATGGGCCCAATTGATTATTGGCATGGGAATATATGCATTAGTATTAGGATTCTTCTTTTGCTTGGGAAGGAAAAGTTTGAAAAAAAAAAAAAAAAGCAGAAGTAAAAAGCAGCCTTTTTTCTTTCACTTTGATTTTTTTCTTTCACTTTGATTCTTCCCCCGATTTTTTCCTTTTCTTTTTCCCTTTAGATTTGCTTTAATTTAAAGTGCTTTGTGAATTTGGCACGAGTGCTACTCCAACTGGAAAAGGGTTAATCCTAAAAACTTCGCCTATAAGGAATGGTCGGATTTGCAATTTATTTCCTACACTTTATTTATTTTTTTCATTTAACTCTCTACGAGACAAAACTACACCTTAATTCTGCTAAATATTTCTTTTCATATTTCTACTTCCTTTTATCAATTAGACTTAAGCCAGAGTTCAATTTTGATCATTATAATTCATGACGTTGGGGTATTTTAATTTAAAAAAATCAAATATCCTGAACTTAATTGAATGGTTTTTTCAATTATACTTTTATAATATAAAGGAGAAATTTTTTGACCATAATATATTGTACAATAATGCTTTGTTGCTAAAATTGTATAATTATTTGGTTTAATATCTAGGTTGTAACTCCTATACTCTTCTAAGTACAAATACATGATGGAACATGTCTTTTACATCTATCTTTACAATTTTGGGATTCTTCCACTATTCTTTTTGTTACTACAAATATAATATATTAGAAAATGTTTTATTATAGTATTCTATATGAAACAAAGGACGGTGTTATGTGAGATATCTATCTTACTTCAATGGTGTAGATTAGAATGGTTTAGTGTAAAAATAAGTTGGGTTATTGTATTTTAAAGATAACGTGTTGAAACTTACAACACTAGAAGATATTTCATAGGGGCGCAAATCATTTTATAGAAAACAACCTAGTTCATGCCTCAAGTCATATTTTTTTTGAGATTTTTCACAGTATGAATGCATACTCTTCTTCCATTTTTTGTTTTGGGTGAACTCCTGACTTGCATTACTGAGTAAGGAAAAGTTACTAGTGGCAGCCAGCCACTCTCACAAATATCAGTATAACTACCATCACTACAGAGAGAACATATCACAGGCTGACAAAACTGCTTTTATTATACAATAAGGCTTCAAAACTATTTTTAAGGTGATGTGCTGAAACTTACAACACTAGAAGATATTTTGTAAGGGCGCAAATCATTTTATAAAAAACAATCTAGTTCATGCCTCAAGTCATGTTCTATAAGATTTTTCATAGTATGAATGCATACTCTTCTTCCATTTTTTGTTTTGGGTGAAACCTTTGACTTGCATTACTGAGCAAGGAAAAGTTACTAGTAGCAGCAAGCCACTCTTACAAATATCAGCATAACTACCATCACTACATAGAGAACATACCACAAGCTAACAAAACTACTTTTATTATACAATAAGGCTTCCTACACATTAAAGAAAGAATTTTCTCTAAAAGTTCGATTTGAAACATAGTTTCCAAGTTGCTCTGGTTCGTGGAATTCTTCTCTATCCTGCAACAACTTGGCAGACATTCTTCAAAATGCTTTGAATCAATTCCAAGAACTCTGAGCCTTCTGTTTAAAGAGTCTCAAATTTCGCTTTCTCTATAACAAATATGCCAAATCCCTAAAGCCCACTTCTGGACCTAATTTATGAAAGTCATTGCTCTTTTTAGCACTAAAAAGAATAATTTTGTTATGCCTCTAACATATTATCAGTTAATACAAATTTAACCTCATAGCAATCTCCAGATAGCTACCCCCAAAAAAGGGTAAATAACATATAACCCCTCTATGGTTTCACATTCGATCACATAACCCCTCTCCATCTTTCAAATATGACCACATAACCCCCATATGGTAACATGAAATGTGGAAAGTGGACGGAAGAAACATCGCTCCATCACATCTAAATGTGAATTGCCAAAAAATGTCCCTACATATGTACCAAAGGATACAATTAAGCAATTGGCCTTCAACACCTGAATTTTTTCGCTATTCTTCTTAAAGAGAGAGACTCGAGAGTCAAAGAGAGAGACTGAAAAGTGAAAGAGAAGCAGCACAATCCAACTCGTAGAAAGATTGAACAGAAGGTTTTTGGCAGAAGCAAAACATTGCATAGCACTAATTTGGTAAGTAAATACTTCTTTGTCTTAATCTAATTTATTGATTTTAGGGTTTTGGTATTTAAATGTCTGAATTCGAAAGTTTAAAGTTTGAATGGTTAAAAACCTTTTGAATTGGTGTTAGCCATTTTTTTTATTGTAGATCTAAGGTTTCATGATAATTTCACTAATTTGTTGCATATAGGAGTTATTTTTTGTGGTACGAAATGAGATTGAAGGTTAAACAAAGTGGGTATTATGGTGGTGCTTGAAATTTGTCAATAACATACTAGATTTGTATTATTTTATTAGTTGGGTATTCTAATGTTGTGTACTCATGCATCTAATTAAACAAATTTTGCCAAAATAAGTTGGTTAAGTAATAGGAATAAAGTAATATCAATTGTCTATGTTTTGGGTAATACTTGGTCTCCAAATAGATGTTTAGTGTTTAGTGGTCCCATGGGAGTAATAATGTAGTATTATTGACTGGTCCTTGAAATATGAATCTGTTTTATATATTTTGGCAAGTTGGAAGAAGACAATTACTTATGCAAACCTTTTGTCATCTACAAGTTTTAATAAAATAGAGAATATGCTAACTACCACCCCTAGCATAGTGGATACCCACATGCATATAGGTGGAAAGTTTCCATGGGAACCTGAGATTTTATACATTGGAAACAAGATAGCAAAGTGTAGTGTTTATAGCTTTAAAAAGAAGTTAACTAGAGATTATCTGTGTCACTTGTAACCTAGAGTAGACAAGAAAGCAGTGCAAATTGAGATATGGTATCAAATTCCTTCTCAGAGTTTGGATATCAGAGTAGCCAAAATCAACAATGACAAGGACATTGATAAACTACTAGAGTTATATGAAGGGCTAAAATACATTGTCTTATAGGTTGAAAGATGTAATGATGGGCCGCTTTGACGAGATTCTACCATGCACCAAATTTTAATAAAATCTAAAATACCTCGTTTTCTGCAAGTATACAAATTGTTTATCGAGCAAAGGAAATATTAAGTGTCGATCCCACAAGGAAGATTATCAATTACCGATGATTTTTGAACTCTTTAATTATTTAGATTATCATTAAGTATAAGAAATTAAATCTACACCTATAAACATGAGATAAATGAAATAAAAATAACAAAAGAAAGCTCCTAGGACTATGGAATTCCTCACTACTCTTGCAAGTGAAATTATTTGTTAATTGAATGTTATTATCTTGATTAGTTATGGCATAATTTCCTAATATATATGAAATCTACTCTCATAGTGAATCAACTACGTTTGTAACTAAGTCATGCCTACTCTCATGGTTATGAAATTAATTACAAATTCATTTTTTCTATAAAATTACAAGGAACAAGCCACTGAAGTCACAAAAGTGCTCCTCCACTCTTGTGAGTGAATTTCATAGGTTTAGCACTTCTTTGAACTTGTGTCAAATCTCAATTTTCATTCCAAACTTAACACCTTAAGATTATCACAGTTAATGGCTGGTTAACCATAATTAGAAAAGCAAAAGTGCTAAACATCATGCTAAAAATAATATCATAATCAAGTAAATATCACTAACAAGATATAGAAAGTTTATCCATAACTCTAGACTTAAACTTTAATAACACATGATAAAATCCAAACTTGTATTATAACTAAACGTAAAATCAAATATAAAAGAGAAAGTGATAGGAGAGAGGTCACCCTTGACACATGAGCTCCTCAATTCTTTATCCAAATCTTGCTACAAATACAAAATGAATAAACTATACTAAATATACTATACTAATGAACTAAGAAAAACTAATAAAGACTACAATTTTGGTAGTGTCTTAGCCTTCCAAAGTTATCAAAAATGTTCTCCAAGGCCCTTATTTTTATAGGAATTCAAGTTACAAATGAGTTGTTAAAGTTGATGTGAAATGCATCTTGAGATTCCCAAATTATGTTTCTACAAGTTTGCACACTTTTCTTTATAGTTGCAGCCAAAATTCTGAGCTAAAGAATAGTTGAAAAAACTGTGTGAATGTAGAACAAGTTGAGATGCAAGCTTTAGTTTTGTTTGAAGAATACGTGGGCATGATGTTGCATATTATGCCCCGTTTTTGCCTTATTGTAGGTTTCCTCATTTTTTTATCAGTCTTAAACTTCACTCTATTCTTGCACCAAATTCCACTACTATTTCCTCGATGATGGAGGCTGAATTAACTCTTGTGCAAATATGAAAATTGTAACTCTTTGAATTAGCTTTTCAATGCTTCTAGAATCATCCAATTTGGATCTCTGTAAACTAAGAAATGACTAAAATAGCCTTGACTAGTTAATCCTCTATTTCAATTTTTGACAATAGAAATGGCCAACAGTATTTCAACTTTTTGACTAGGAAAACTCATGAACTGAATTTCGATGTCTTCATAAGCAATGTAGAGCTACGTGTTAGCTTCAAAATCGCTTAAGAATCATTTTAATCCAATGTTTGTAACTCAAGATGTAGTCAAAATACCAATAGGCTTTCTTTTGTACTTAATTGCATTTTCTCTTATGAACATATTATACTTCATTTTCTCTTTAAATCACTTTAAATCATCAACAATCATTCCAATATCTTCTCAATTCACTCTATTTGATGATTGGATCATTAAACCTTTAAAAATATGAAATTTTTACCACTTTAAACACATAGAGATGCAATGTTTGACACTTAAACCACAAAATGCATACTTTCACTGGAATCCTAGTTAATTAGTTAGAATATAAGTAAAACACATCAAAACTAAATAATAAAACAAACTTAAATTACTCAAAATACACACTTATTAAATTCTCCCACACTTGAAATATTGTTTGTCCTAATGCAATTAGGAATTATAAACCTACAACGATCCAAACTTTTGAAATGAAACATATGTGCACAATT